CTGCTATTGAAGCACTAAGATTTCTGGGAGGCCGAATCCCTGATGCTATTATTCAGCCGAGGTATGAGTGCAGAAGATGGGTGAGAGGTGTCTGAGGATGCGCCTTCCCCTTGCAGTGTCCTGATTCCCAGGAGTGGTACGGAGCCTCCCCACAGTCTGGAACAGTTTCCTGGCAGTGGGTTTCCCTGAAAATGCTTTGACTCTTACTCTCTGCTTCCCTGTATCATCACTTCAAGAAGCTGCTGGATTTTTGGCTAACACAAGAATTTGCCTTGCTTACATAAAGAGAGAGAGGAGAGAGTGTAAATAAAGAACAGATTGAAAAACATGCACATCTTGGAAATTACTTTTATGTTAAGGAACTTAAGGGCATGTTTTCTTACTTGCATGTTCTGTAATAAGTTTTAACAAGATATAATTCTTGGGTGCACCACTAATTTTAGAGTTGTGACTGCCCCGAGTAGGCCAGGTCAAGCATGTTTGAAAACAAAAGTATATTTCAAGACATATGTCACTATGTGGCCTACATTGAATGTAAGCTCAGCACAAACGTATTGGAAAAATGTGAAGAAGTGATATCAGTGGAGTGTCAATCTCCGTTGCACTTCAAAATTATTCTGAAGCTTTTAGAGGCAAATTTTTAGAGGCTGAAATTAAAAATTATTTTAACATATTTTCTTCACTTTTAAGATTAAAAAAATGACCAGTTATCAACAACTCTTCTTTCTTTTCCTCAAATTTCTCCATACATTAGTTCCATTACCTCAACAAGAGCCTTTCATGAAAGTGTACTCTAAGCAGCCTTCCCTAGCCATTTCTGTTCACTCTGCCCTTTCCTCTCAAGTTTGCAAGAAAATTATTTTCCTGATCTTTGTTCCCTCCAGTCAATGTCCAGAGAAGCCCTAAACTGTGGGAGTAAGGACTTCTTGCTCTTGTGTAACATTTCTTTGTAGAGAGTTTGCATGCACTGGTGATAGCTGTAAGTCCAGAGGGCAAAACGTGTGCACTTCTGTGTGTCGCTTGAAGTTCCTGCTCAGTACCAAATCAGCAATATAAAATAATATAAAATTATAAAAAGCAGAGAAAAAACAAGATGCTTTGCGTCGCAGGCTTCTCTGAAGCTTGTGTGGAAAAGGTCCTGTTGGCTGCTCTGCTGTTGGCCGGTACGCTTTGCTCCAGTGTTAATGGAGTAATGTAAATTTATTTTATTGAAATTCGCATTTGCCAGAAATGCTGTTCTGATTTGTTCACTCTTGGAGCTGCCTCCTAGAACGAAGATCATGCAGCAGAAGGTCTTTGGGATTTCTGTTGTATTTAAGGCTTCAGAGTGCTCTGAAAACTGAGACGTAACGTTAACCATGAGGCCTCATAAAAGTCTTCATGAATTGATCCAACTATAAAATTCTTAGTCAAGCATCATCACAAAAATAGCCTTTAGTTTGAATTTACCCTTTCCTTTGCAGCTGTATCCAAACATAAAATGTGAGATCAAAAGTATCTTGAATTTCAGTTGTAATTAAGAATTTAGTAGTTCACAAAAATCAGAGCTACGTTGCCATGTTTGGAGTGACTGCCTGTATTTGAATCTCTTGTGATGAAATTGAATCTGTGAAGTAGAACTGATATAGGTTCCTAGGTGCAGTACTGCCCAAAGACATTTGAAGCTCTGGTGAACATGCCAGAGAGGCACCTGCTAAGGAGCAGATTGCTTTCATCTTCTGGGAAAATCTCTTGCAACTAGTGGTGAGCTCATTAGCTGTTAATATATCCCAAAATCTGAGCTGGCATGGGGAAAACCAGTGGAGTTTGGTAGCAGGCGATGTTTTTCTGCAGCTGGAAAGCAGTACTGACAAGAGTTGCTAGGTGCTGTTAGTTACGTGGTGCGTGTTCCTGATGTGATTCTATTGCGCAGTACTTGCAGAGAGTGGAACGAAGATGTTGCAGTGTTGTGCCGTCTGGACCTACCTCCTCCTTATGAAGCTGCATGGGTCCAGAACAGCTCTGAGCAGGTATGGCTGTCAGGACTTCGAAGTGTAGCTTGTGTTTGGGCTGTAACATTAAGGTTGAGCTTCAGAAATTTTACAAAAAGTCACATATCTTTTTTCATTTCAGAATGGCAGGAGAGTATGTTTGGTTACAAATACGGCTTGCTGTGAATTTCACTAAAGATTTTAATTAATTGCCTACTTTATTGTTGAAAAGTTTTCCCCAGTTGGATAAACGATCTGGGCATGGGAGAAGGAGAAAAATACACCTGTTACTGGTTATTCTGGAGGACCCCTATGCTCCTTCTTGCTTTACTTCCCTTCTGCAACAGTTCTCCTGTGTGGGAATGTGACAGGATTTTGCCATGTTCACTGATACCTTTCACTGGTGTTTTCAGAAGACAAGTGCTTTTCCCCAGAAAACACTCAGCAGAGTAAAATTGCCTGGCCTGGATGATAAACATTAATTTTAGACAATTGCTAGTCTTGGTTTTGCAGTGGAATTAAGCACATATCACACAGTTACTGTGCAGTTAAGCAAAAGTGTTTACTTTCTAAGGTGGATGTTGCAGTTCTTAGCAAGTACCAGAAAAAAAGATGGTGGCTTGCAATTTTTCAACTTTTCTATTTTGTTCCAGGAAGGTGCACCGCAAGTAAGTGTTGCGGAAGTTGTTGATTTGGGGGAAGTCAGTGACAGGCAGGCATCTCAAGGTAAAAAACACATTTTAAAATTTGTTCTAGAACAGTTCCACCCAACCTAGGCGACTTAATGTAAGCAGCAGCAGCATTATTATTTCTTTGAAAGACAGCCACACTTTTGGCCAGTAGGAACAGGGAATAATGTTTAAAATATATAAAAAAGTTCTTAGCTCTTAAGATACAAAAGGAAAGGTAGATTTCCTTCTTAGTAGTCTACAAGTTAGTTATTGACTCTACATCCACGTATTCTAAGAAATTAGTCCAGGCTCCAGTGTTTCAATTTGTTTTGTATACATAAAGGTGCCTGTTGATGTTTTGTTGCTGATGTAAATAGGAAAAGGAAAATAACATGTTTAGTTAAATGTGGGAATTACTCTATTATTGGGCTTGAACTGGAAGAATTACTAAATAGTTTCTGTATATGAGTACTGGACATAGTTAGGACCTAGAGGACACATCAAGCTTTGCTCATCATTGTTTGCTCAGCATTGACTGTTGTAAAGGAGAGTCAGGAAAGTTTTGTTCATTTTTAAAAAGAGCTATGATAAGGTATTGTTTGAGGTATTGTTTTTCTTTGTAAACTTCCTTTGCAAGCAAGTAGACCTGAGCAGGTGCGATAAACTGTATCCTCCTCCCCAGCTTTTTAACAGGTTTGTCTATGTAGGGGGGTTTTTTTGCTTCAATAAAAAGGCCTGTAAAGAGACATTTAAATCTCAGGCTGGCTGTTAAATTTAGATAAAGAAAATGAATGCTAACTTCTTCTTCATACCAAGGCTTCTTAGGGGCAATCTCTCTGATCTCTGAAACATTAATATTATGAAGAAAGGTAATGAAATTAGTTCATTCATATGTTAATAATTTGAAAAAATACATATTTCTGGTGTACCAGCAGCACTGTACCTCAAGGACTGACTGCTAGCACAACTCTGCTGCTGTTAAAAAGTTTATATTCGTGGTGGATTCTTTAATCCTGCCTGATTCTTGGTCTGCCATGCTTGGTTGCTGGGTTCTAATCCCTGACTTTCTAGGCTGGTATCTGTTTTATATAGGTTGTGTCACGGTTTCTTCTCTTGAGAGAAGAGAATCTGGGTTGCACTTGCATGTAGGTAAGATGCTGTGCTCAGCAAGTACGTATCATCCAAGCCTTAATTTTCTTGAATGCTCCAGTCACTGTTAAAGTAGCTCCATTTCTATTAAAGTAGCATATTCTGCCATATTCTGAATAAACGATGGTTTACATCAGTTATTTTTTTTGTTCTTCCATGAGCAAGAACATTGTTTTTTGTAATAAGGCAAGTGGCATCAGGTGGAGGTACAGAACTAGGTTTGGCAAGAGATAACATTGCTAAAAAGGAATGGCAATGTAGAATTTCACCCAAGGGAAAGGAGGAATGTTGATTAATTGTAAGGACAAAACTTATCTCAGAATTCAGAAAAATCTTTGATAAGGAATCTCACAGAACAAGATTTTTAATTCCTTTGTAGGAACTGGTGACTGATTTATGAACTACCTGATTGCAAACAGTGATCTCTGTGACCATATGCTGCCATATCTTGGTACAACTGCTTATGTGCAGGAAGATATCAGGTTGTGAGATTTAGATTTCTCTCTAAGAAAGCTGTAGCTCCCTTCTTTCTGATCAGGTAGTTTAAGGTGAGGTTTGTACTTTTTGCTACTCCAGTTGCCTAAGGCTGAACAGGTTCCTGCAAATGTTCTGGCAGTCTTTAGAGAAGTGGTGAGTGTGGGTATATGCACTCACATCTGCACCTCTATGCCTTTGTGTCCAGTCATTACATATTTTCCAGGGGGTAGAGCACAAAAAAAAAATAAAATAATAACAATCTCTAATAGCAGCTTCTACAGACACATCTGTGCTATTCTGACTACTTTTCCTTCACCTTTACTATTCTCGATTACTCAGGTGAAGAAATTCCCACGTCTTCCAGCAGAGTGAGCCTTTTACCTTCAAATGCAAGCCTAGTGCCTGTGGACGAAGTGCATGGGAGGGTCTTCAATTCCTTACTGAAACGTTCTGAAAGTGTCCCTGTGCTGCACAGCTCTTTTTTTCAAGGTGAGTTGATTTTTCTCTATCAGCGCCTATGTAATAAGTCCTTAAAAGAACATTTGCCAGACGTTTGGTACCTTGAACCTAGTACCTGCAGAAATGCATTACTGTCTCAGCAGAGTTCCAAAGTTACAGGAGTTTGTGTTTTGCCAGACCTTCTCCACCCTACACCTTCGTCTTGTGGCTCTTTAGGCTGTCACATCCAGGAACAGGGTTTGTGGCAGGCATTGCTAGTTTGGAGAGGAATGAGGGATGGTGGAAAATGAGTATGAGGGAGCACAGAGGGCTTCTCAGTGTATTCGTACACTGGCATCTAAGAGCTTGCAAAGGCAAGTATGAGCAATTTAAAGTAAGATTAGCTTTGGTATTTGGAGTTGGCATATAAATTTGCTCTCCTTTTCTCATTCCTCATAGCATCAAAAAAACCCTGGAAAAAAAAACACAAAAAACCCATGTAGGAGGGCTGATCAAGTCTGTGGCAGCTACTTTGGTGTCAGTGATCCTGTTCGGTCGCTGCGTGAAAACTGCTGGTGTGACTGCAGAGTACTTGATTCTGCTGACAGTCTTAAAAATCCACTAGTCAAGAGCCTTGCAGGTTTAAGTAGAGGATAGCAGAACCCCCATAGTAGCTGCTGATACATAATAGCACTCACAAAATGTAAGCAGGGATGGAACATGTTAGTAACAGCCATTTATTTTGAACATCGGTTTGTGGAATGTTTTTATGTTTCTGCTACATCACATGCTTTCTCTTCTCCTCCTGTCAACTTCCACTGCAGCCTCCTGGAGAATGTGCTGCTGAAGTAATAGCTGCATGACACAGAGCCTATTTCATAGCTGTGAATGAAGAGCACAGCATTTCTGCTGTAGAGAGGCCCCATCAGTCAGAAGGATTTGGGCATTTTAGGCTCAGTGTAACTGGAATTAGGTCTGTTCCACACTGGCTCTGGGAGTTAAATGCACCAGTGCTGCAGTGAGGGAGTAGAGCCACGGAAGTTGCTTCAAGTTAGTTGGTGTATCACTAGCTTCCAGCTTGGCAAGCAATTGTTTTCAGATATTTTGTAACTAGTGCTCTTGACTGGTAATAACTGAAAGTTACAAAGAGTTTAGATGAGGCTTCAAGCTTTGCTTAACCTGCTTTGTGTAACTACGTTAAGATCAACGTTCATTGCAGGTCTGTTCAGAACAGAAGCAAAAGAGAAGGGAACCCATTTGCACAAAATGCCAAAGAGCTTTCCCAGCTCTTTCTCTTCCAGAGCCTTTGACATGTGATATGCCCTCAACCATAGCTAGGTGTGACTGTTTTAGTGTGAATCCAATATAGAGTGAGCCTTGTGTGCCGGGTTCAACTGAGCACTGAATGAGGACTGAAATCTCAGAGGATACTTGTTGAATAGCAGCTGGATTGTTTGCTTTATCTGATCTTTGTCTTCAGGGGTGGTGCTCAGCTGTCAAGCTGAAACACAGGCTGAAGTAAAACAACTCTATGCCACCACCTTGCAGAAGAGCTTGAGAGAAATAACTCTGAGGGGAAAACTCCAGTTTTTGATAGACTGCAAGTCTTCCACAGACACCAAACAGTTTGTGGCGTGGATCCTAGACCAGTTCTGCTGCAGCATGAACCCTGACATAATCAAACTGATGGACAACACCAATTCTGTTTTAAAATCAGATGAGAAACATATGGCTGAAGTTACCACCAGTGCCACCTTCCTTAAGCAGGTAGTTTTATTACCTGTGTTTATTGGGTGATGTGGAAACCTGCTAGCCTTGGTTTGGGAGTATAGGTTTACACTTGCCACTCTGCTTTGTGTGACACTTTTTTTATTCCAATTAGCTTCTTTTGGTACTTTATTTAGGGAGCAGGTGAGAGGCTGTGCAGCTAGATGTCTCTTGCTCTCTCCACCACATAACCAGGAATGTTTTCAGAAGACTAAATGTGAGTGTATTTAAAAGCTGAAGGAGATGGTCTTCTCCAGTAGAATCATGAACTGTGAATAACATGACAGTGTTTTATACTGAGCATGGCAGGGGAGATGGAAGAGATGTTATAAAACATTTACTATTATGAACTGGAAGGAATGGAGAAATTTTTATGTACACTCACTAGAATGTAGAAATTTTTATGTAAACTCACTAGAAGCCACTTTTCGTGATTGGCTCTCAGAATAAAAATAAGGCCTGGTACTTAAAGGAAAAAAAAAAGGTAGAAATTATAAAATATGTGCTTACATCAATGGAATGAATATTCAGAAGTTTCAGACATTACAGAATTCATCAAACAAATGTTTTGGTAGTTTACAGACAATTTGAATCTATCAGTTGATTCATGCACTGCACAAGTGATTTGCTGTGACAACTGCTACTGGTTTGACACATCAAAGATTGTGATTTAGGCTCTGGAGATAAAGAAAGATTTCCCACTGCAGCCTACAGGCTACAAAAGCCTCAACAAATTTGACAGAAGTAGCAGAAAAAAAAATCTTTATGAGAACTTAATTTATCGCCCTGGCTTGAAGGTTATTGCAGTCCAGTGGCTTCTGAAGGAAGCAGCATTTAGTTTCTTATTAAGAAAATCTGACATGCCATGGTTTGGGGTGGGCTAATTCTTGTGCAGCTTTAACAAAGAAAAAAAGAAAACACTCACTCTTTTTCCCAGTTAGGATTGCTTTTCTTATCCTTTCTTGACAAATAGTGATTTTAGTTTCAGCTTTTTTTTCTATTACTCTCTAGAAATAATGAATGGCTCTACAACAAGCCTCTTCCTAGCTGGATAAGAAACTGTTTTAATGGAACGACAGCCTGAAAACAAATCTGATTTACATTTTTTTTTCTTTTAAAGGTGATGGCATCTGACCAGCAAGCCATGTCATTGAGGGCCCATGGTTTACCTTTCAGAATGCTTCCTGGATTGCTGCACCTGGAGACATGTGGTGACCTGAGTACTTTCACCATAGGTGCAGGTTGTCTAGCAGAGACCAATGATCCAGAGAGCAGAGCATGAACGGCCCCACAATCTGAGTGGCATTGTCAGGGAAACTGTACTTTGAGCTGATTTCTGTCTTTCTGTATTTGAGATGTTTTGTGTTTATTCCTCAGTAGAGCGTTTCTGTCAGATGTACATTCTGCACAGGAAGATCATATGCAAGTGGGTGGAAGAGTGTGTTGATAATCTCACAATGTTTTTTTTTTCTTTTTAAATACATCCATGCTTAGGCTCCTGAGGTGAAGCTCGTTCTACAAAGCCTATTAAGGAGATTGCAAGCTCCCCTTTATTGGGCTCTCAGGTGCAACTATTTTTTTGTAATACTGTACTGTCCTAATGCATCCCTCCAGTCTATCACCATTTAGGATGGATTTGCTTTTTTTACTCATATTGCAAGAGAGATGGCTGAATGGGTCAGTGCCTTGGTTTGCTGGGGTAAGACAAGAAAAGTTAACGCATGTGTGAGTTTTATATCCCATTGGAGAACAAGACCAGTATCAATGCTTATGTTCACCTGCTGTGTGTTACTGTAGCTCCACCATTTTCTTTTATTATTCTTTTATTGGCTGGCATATAGCAGTTTACTTTCTTGTAGAGATATTTGTTACATACCAGCTGCTATCCATGCCAGCAGCCCCTATGCAGCCACCTCAAACCCTCTGCAGATGTGCAGGTGACTACCTGACATTGTTTTGGCAGTCTCCACCATTAGGCCAGAGGGACCCATGAATTCTCTGGCTAATAAACCAATGTATACATTAGTTGACTCAAGCTGTTGACTGCAGACTGTTAAGCTCTGTTCTATATATATGCTGCTAACTAATAAACTAATGAACTCATTATTTCCAGAGGCTGGGATCAGGCACACAAATTGTTTGTGAGTCTAGCTATAGCCTTCTGTGTCTCAGCAGGATGGCTAAATATTCCTGCTATTTTAACAGCAAAGCTTCATTTAAAAATTATGAAACAACTTTCCCACTGAAAACCAAAAAAGCTTTAAAGTGAGGTTTAATAAAGTTTGTTCAGAAGTTGAAACTGTGCAGTGTGGCTTGACTCAGTGAAGATGCTAACTTGAATAAATGGAATTGAACTGAATAACTGGAATTGGCGATTTATTTTTCCTGTATAGTAGAGGAAATACATTGGAGGTATTGAGTTTGCTGGAGCACTGTCATGTTGGTACATTTTGCTCTTAGATGCAAGAGCATAGCAAATAAAAATTGAGGACTCTTTTTTGTCTTGGAGAAGAAAGAAAACACCGTAACAACATGGCTTCAGTATGCTTTTACCTCAGCCCTGTTAAATATTTTGCAACTCCATCACATTCAAAGCTCCAACTCTTCTTGTTACATACATCATCTTAAGTGGGAGTTCTTGCAGAGCTTTGGTATTAGCTTCCTTTTCCCAGTTAGTCATTGCTCTTTCAAAACTGGGTTGCAGAAGAGGAAAGTTATGTGCACCTCATCAGAGGTGCTACCTTCAGGTAGCTCTTGAGAGCTCTTACACTGCTGTCACACTTGGTATATAAACTACCTGCAACCTGACTGGAAGGAAAGTCTGCAAGGGTCCCCTGGGCTCCAAGTCAGGACACCACATAAGCTTATGCTTTGGAAGATTTGATCACAAGGCATTTAATTGCTCATTATCACAGTGGAACAGGACTAACTCAAGCTGAAGTTATCAGCCACTGGACAATGCTTCAAAAGGCAGGTACATGTTTCAGGTAACAGGAGAGAAAAAAAATCTGACTTCAACAAATTATCTGCTTACCATAGCTCTTTATTTCTAATTGACCATCTAATTACTCCAGGATGAGTGCCACAATTATTTATAAAGCCTATCAATGATATTATTACTCAAGTAAGCTGTTTCCTTAGTGATGTGCACAATGCGTGACCTGTTTTTTAGCCGGTCATGTAACAGACATTAAGGGAAATACTGTGACAACAGCAGCTGCTCCATCAGAGAAAAAGATACAAAAAAAATACCCAACATATTCAGAGTCATCTTTTCTGAACACTACTCACCTTTCTGTTATTACAGGCTACTCTGAAAGACTTGCTCCCTGTCCCAGAGGAGTGGAGAGGTGACAGCCTGGGGTGCGCTACGGTAACAACCAGTCTCCCTTCACAGGGAGAACACACAACCTGAGGTACATTATGTTAAGGTACGAGCCTACCTGTTGTCCACGTACTTCATGTAATGTATCTGCAGGTTTTGTAGCAGTACCAGTGTAAAAAATACTGAAATTCCCACAGTACCAGAGACTTGGCAGCCTTACTGGACAGTCAGGTCCTTGCTAACTGCAAGGTATATCATTCAGGACCCCGTTTTGTCCAATAGCACACACCCCACTTCAACCACTACACCTGGCACCACTCCATGACTGCCATGAATTTACAGCCCATTCCACACACCTCTCTCTCTCTCTCCAGGGCACACCAAACCAGAAAAGATGGAATATTTTCTATACAGGAAGCAAGCCTGCTGCAAAATAGTTGTCTCAAAGACTGAGTAGTTTTTCAAGATGGAAGTTAAGTTTCTTCATTGTTATTAGAACAATAACATTGCAAGTTTAAAAAAAAAAAGCAAAAAAAAAAGAAGTTACTGACACCACAGAAACACAGAATGGTTTGAGTGGGAAGGGTCCTTTAAGATCTCATTCCAGTCCCCTCTGTCATGGGCAGGGACACCTCCCACTATACCAGGTTGCTCAAAGCCCCATCCAGCCTGGCGTTGAACACTTCCAGGGAGGGAGCATCCACAGCTTCTCTGGGCAACCTGTTCCAGTGTCTCACCACTCTCATTGAAAATTATTTTCTCTTAATACCTAATCTAAATCTACCCTTTACAACTATACCCTCTGTCCTACCACTACACTCCCTGGTAAAAAGCACCTCTCCAGCTTTCCTGTAGGCCCCTTGAGGTACTGGAAGGCTATCAGGTCCCACCAGAGCCTTCTCTTCTCAAGGCTGAACAGCCCCAACTCTCTCAGCCTGTCCTCACAGGAGAGGTGCTCAAGCCCCCTTGATCATCTCCATGGCCCTACTATAGACCTGCTCCAACAGGTCCATGTCGTTTTTATACTATGGGGGGTCTAGAGCTGGACGCAGTACTGCAGGTGAGGTCTCACAAGAGTAGAGGGGCAGAAATCACCTCCCTTGATCTGCTGGCCACACTGCTTTTGATGCAGCCCAGGACACGGTTGGCTTTCTGGATTGAGAGCACATGTTGCTGGCTCATGTTCAGTTTTTCACCCACCAACAGTCTCAAGCTCTTCTCTGCAGGGCTGTTCTCAATTCACTCATCACCCAGCCTGTATTTGCACTGAATTTGAACTTCATGAAGTTTTCACAAGCCCAACTCTAGAGCCTGTCCAGGTCCCTCTGGATTACAACCTTTCCCTCCAGTGTGTTGATGACACCACACAGCTTGCTGTCACTGGCAAACTTGCTGAGGGTGCACTCAGCCCCACTGGCCATGTCCCTGACAAAGATATTAAACAGCACCAGCCCCAAAAACGACCCCTGAGAAACATGACTGATCACTGGTGTCCAGTCAGACACTGAACCATTCACCAGAACTCTTTGAGTGTGACCATCCAGCCAGTTCCTTATCCACTGAGTGGACCATCTGTCAACTCTGTGTCTCTCTGCCTTAGAGACAAGGATATCATGTGGGACAAGTGCCAAATGCTTTGCACAAGTATGCCCAAACAATGTAGCCAGTTTTAATTTCATTGTCTTCAGGCGCTGAAAAACACAATCCCATAGCCAGTCTCTTTTTCTTAGTCATAATTACAATCTCAGCAAGAGATACTGTAAAGGACACTTAATGCTATTTCAACAAGTCTAGAACTTGCAAAGATTTCAAGACCTACAAAGTCGCTAGCAGCTCAATTTAATCACCACAGTTCCAGTGACAGTGCAGCCCTTAGCAACAGAATAGTAATTTTCATTTCTTACAGTGTTTTTTATTCATCAAGGCAAGGGTTATGCAAATGTTGTTCACCAGAACCATTCTCCCACCAGTGGCTTTTGTGTCTGTGTGTTTTGGTCTTTTTTGTCTTTTTCTTTTAAATCACGAGCTTAATGGCCTATCACATCTCAAAACGATAAACTTCTCACTCCCTTTCTCCTTTGCAAATGTGGTCTCCTTTTCTGTCTGGGCAGCCTTTAGACCTAACGAAAAAGTCACCTTCATCATCAGCATTCTTCCAAACAAACACAGATGCCTTCACCAGTCATCCTGCAACTCTCACTCGATGGAAAAGCCACCAGTTAGAGCAACGGGAATTTATTGTTGAGTGAGACCCACTCAATTAGTCCAGACATTCTCATTCATTGTTGTGCTCAGGCACATGGTTTAGCTGTGGATCTGGCATTGCCAGGTTAACGGTTGGCCTTAATAACCTTAAAGGTCTTTTTCCAAACTAAACGATTCTATGGTTCTAAAAGGGAGGGGCACACAACTCGGTGCAATCTGTCACACTGTCTCTCTTCCCAGTGCTGTCAGGGTACATCTCCTGAACTTCCATGGTCTTGCCTGAAGATGCCTTTCTGGAGAAGGAGCAGTGGGGAAATTCATGGAAGGCATGGAAGATGCTGTATGGGATGGAACAGGGAGGAATGGCAGAGTACAGGCAGGCCATGACAGGGTAAAGACAGTAAGAAGAAGCATCAGTGGAAAGTGGACACTTATCATAAGGATATGCATGGAAGAGGAAGTAAAAAAAAATTGTGCCTGTTTTCATTTTACTTCTCTGAAAGTCATTCTACGTCTTTCTCCTGCTCCCCCTACCCTTACATGTGAGCAGAGACTATCAGAAATGACAGGGTGGTGGAGGGCACAAGCCCATTAGCCAATTGCTTACGATTCAGAGAGGCATTTTTCTGCCATCTTAATTTGCTCATTTGTGAAATCATCCAGTGGGGAAACATTCTGTGCCAGACTGCTGCTGCGGAAGCATGACAGCATAAATTATAGATACCTTGCTGGGCTGAGCTGGAATGGAAACATTTAAAACAGACACTAGTTTCAAGGGAGGGGAGAACTCCAGGAGGG